TTCTTTCTATACCTTGACAATTGTTTTTATTATCAAAAGATACAGAATACTTCCTTTCTACTGTTCTTTATTTTGTCGTTTTTAAAAAAGTCGACACATTCCTGGCTGATTTCTCAAATCTTTTCAGCAAATTTTATCCAATCCTAGACAAAATACAATTTCACCAAAAATTTCCAGACCATACATTCATATACAATGGTGCGGTTTATCTACTAAAGTCTGGAGAAATACCCTAACTATTAAATACCCACTAGATATTAAATTAAATTTCTAATCTAAAGTATGGTACCTGCTTTATACTGATCTATCGAAAATGGTGAATTTCAATAAACATCAACTCAAGTGAGACCAGCAAAAAACAACCAAGTCAAAAATTACTTTGAATCGAACACCAAGTTCAAAGTGACCTCACTCGAGCGAGACCAACCAAAATCGATCGAGTCCAGAATGGTCTCAATAAGTCCAGGAAATAGTGCAACTAAATCCAGTAGATAGTGTAAGTTTTGGATACCGCTATTACGGTGTATTATATCCCTATGTTTTACACTATTTTCTCATACTATGCATAAAGTTAGCACACGATCAAACTACACAGAAGCTAATCTCTCCAAACTTAGGTTATGCAGGTTTTAATGGATCGTTTTTAAACTCACTTTCCTTTGTCCTAAATAAAGTTTCAATTATAAAACTTTTTTAAAAAACATTATTCATACCCCAATAGATTAGCGGACACGAGCCGTTTAATGCAACTATTACAAGCTATTAAAACAAATTGTTAGGCAGAAGCTTTTACACTAATTTCATCTGAAATTATATTTTCATCGCGTTCTTGAAAAAAATATGTATACATATAGTTTTTGTTATTTCACTTTTTTAATATATAATTATAATTTGTATAATGGATCAATGCTCATCTAAAATGCCCTTTGAGAAATATTTCAAACAAAATGGTTTCTTGATCAGTTCTTCTGTAATGACGGTTGGCTTACTTGAAATTTGTTTAAAGTGCCACCTTTAAAGATAAACAACTGAAATATTAAACGTGTCTTTTATTAGATACACAATAACAATAAAAGACACGTTTAATATTTCATTACGTATGTGAACCTGGTAAACTTTTAGGATTTTCAAGTGGAATACCATTTCTTCAATGTGGTAAAAATTTCAAACTCGCAAGTCAATGCTATGAGCAGGAATGTGTCAGAGGGCCATAGAAAATCTATACATACTGTTAATGTTTCTACTGATTCATTGAGCGTAACGCCTCAGTACTCTCTCTTTCTAGAGAACAATGCAATGTGATTATAAATAACCGTACAGTACAAAGGCATTAATTTTTGGTTAAACTATCAGGTTACTAAAGGATATAACAGTACTATGGTGTCTTACCATAGTTAGCCTGATGATGGGCTCAGAAAAGGTAGCCCAAACTTGAAAATAATATGCAGAACACGGATTAATTTAGAACATTCAATTTATTCTCTCATTATTTTTAACACTTTACATTTAACATCCTTCACGTCATTTCATGTCTTCAAAATAAATCGAGGAAATAGTTCGAATCTAAGTATTTATTTTTATAGATCTCTAACAGTATTTTGTTATACCATCATTTCTCCAAAATATATAAAAAAAATTGCTACAAATGCTTAGAGTAGAATAAAAATATTAACATCATTCTTATCTATCATATTCTGAAAACACTGTCGCAAAGTCAGAACACTTATTTTATTTGTAATATATTATTACATCATGGAACAAAACCAAAATCAGCTCTATGTGGAAGTTCAACCAATCATGGGTTTTATCATAACAACTTCGTAGGTTTTGCCACAAATCAACATTACACAAATTTATTCTGATACATAAAGTAAATCGTAACATGACTGAAACGCTAATCAGTTCATCTGTTTCTATAGGCCTAAGAAAATATCTTTTATCATCAACAGAAAAAAATTAATTTACTCTGATGGTTTAGACTTCATCATCAAATGGTTACTTTACCACCTAAAACAACAAGCAACCAGAGATCAATTGAAAGGTACCATCAATACAACTAATTCAGGAACGAAATTAAATAATGTAAAAAATTACATGACAATACTGAAAATTTAAAAAGGGGCAAACTTCTTATCAAAGCTATATAACATTTAATAATTTATATTATAATACCTGCTCAGGAAAACAACAGCTGTATGAAGCATTACGTATTTTATGAGATTTAATAACAATGGAAACATACTTATATCACTCGCACCCAAGTCCGATATCTTTTAAGACTGACGATTATTTTCCCAACTATGAGCCAGACAAATCTGAGAGATTTCATTATCACTGCACAAACTGATCTTGCAGGATTAAAAAGTAAAATTTGGTCTTTATTAAATTACTATGTAAAAATAAAAAAATATAAGCAATGTATTTACAAGCATTGAAAGACTCGGTCAAAAATAAAAAAAACAATTTATGAGATCACACAGAATCTGGTAGTACTTTGTAATTATTCTTTAGAGAAGTGATGTTGTGCGTACACTTCTTTAATCATATCACTCTGTGCTTACTTTAAAAAAGCAGATTCAGTCCTTGTTCAACTTCTCTAACTCGTCAACATCTTCTGCATCCAACTTCAGAATTTTACGTCCTAAAAGGAAACAAAAATTAAAACCAAATATGAACCTTTAGTCAATTAAGTTGCTGCATCTCAAGTGCCACATGTCTCATGTTTGGGAGGATTCTTGAGCTTCTACTAAGTACATAAAAGAATGTGGAAAAAAAACTTAACGCCCACACTAAGTTTACAGTAAATGTTATAATATAGACTTTTTCAAACAATATGATTAATTTTTCAAATAGAATTGAAATTGTGTACATTATTATAAAAACTGTTTGTAGTTCACTTAAAATTTCTTAAGAAAGTGTTTTAATAAAATAACATTTGATTTCTCCTGTTATTTGACTTTACAATAGCAGCAGTATTTTGGATTTCCATAATGCAAACATTTGGTCCACTTTTCAGATAAGTGTTTTTAAAGAAAGATAGCCTATCTAAAGAAACACACAACTAGAATTCCTGTAAAACACTTTACTGATTTCACTCAGACTGGTAGATGAACTTGTATTATACTCAAAAACCAGGTAAAAAAAACTTTCAAAAGCTCTTGTAACAGTAATCAATAAACCGAACATTCATGAAGGTCAAGACCGAGACACCAATAAACCGAACATTCATGAAGGTCAAGACCGAGACACCAATAAGCCGAACATTCATGAAGGTCAAGACCGAGACACCAATAAACCGAACATTCATGAAGGTCAAGACCGAGACACCAATAAACCAAACATTCATGAAGGTCAAGACAAAGACATCAGCAGTATTTGAATCATATACCAAAGTGCGTGTGTGTGTGTGTGTGTTTCTGTCTGTCTATATATATATAAAATGTTGTAATGTTACTTTAGACTGTTTCAGTAGGCTAAATAAATGAAATTTAAGTTATTGTATTTTATATTAATTTATCGTTTAAAAAGATAAGATGAATGAAATAAACACAAAACCTTTATAATATGGTGACATCAGCTTTGTTGGTACTACTGTTCTGTAATAGAGAAAGTATTTTAACATCATCATGAACAACTTTCTTCAACTGTTTATATACGGGGCTCATCTAGCAGGAACATCATCATGAACAACTTTCTTCAACTGTTTATATACGGGGCTCATCTAGCAGGAACATCATCATGAAAAATTTTTTCTTCATGTGTTTATATATGGTGCACATCTATTATTATGAGCAGCTATTTTCAACCGTTTATATACAGGGCTCATCTAGCAGGATCATCATCAATAACATCTTTCTTCATCTGTTTATTCAAACGTCTGCAAGTCTTATCAGCTGTAGCAATTGAAAGGGAGGGAATACACACATGATGCTGGGATAAACTGAAAAACATGGAGGGCAACAGTTACAAGAATGTACTAACTGACCAAATTACTCCAACAATGGCAGTGTTGGTACTTAAAGCATAAAACTTAGAAAAAAATATGTTAAAGCTGATAAGCTACAGTTAATCTTTTTCTATATTGACAAAGAGTAGAAATATGGAAACAGGCTTAAGGCACTTAATCCTGTTTGTTTTTCTCCAATGGTACACATTGCTGGAGCGGTAGTGTATTAGCATGTAAGCATTAGGTCCTTTGATCACTTTAGAAGGGCTTAACCTAATAACACCACGGTGTACCCGAAAATTGGTGCAAAACTGGTTCAAAGAGCATGAAAGTGACTTGTTGACATGCACAATCACCAGATCTCAATTTGATTGGGAATCTTTAGGATGAAACTGAACACCAACATCTGTGAACCAACTGCAGATCACACTTCCCAGTTGAGTGTTATAATCAAACATGACACCTCAGAGTGTCTAGTGGAGTCTACGTTAAGCCAATTCACGATATCATTGTAACTAATGTTAATACAATTCTATGTTAGTCACATGACAGTTCCTGAAAATGTGGCTACTCGGTAAACTAAGTTGTTCCACTACTTGTTTGAAGAGATGAATTAACTGTTGATGTATGGAAAAGTACACCTTTCCAAGTCATAAATGCAACATACACTTTTATAATTGTTCCGACCTGTTTGAAGAGAACAGTTGTGGATCAACCATATCGCGCAAGTTAAATGTTTTCGATTTTTATACCTCATAAATGGAATATACACTTACCAAAATGATCCTCAATTTGTTTCAGAAATATGGTCGTACGCGGGCCATCAATTATGTTAATAGCGAGCCCAATTTTTCCAAAACGTCCAGTTCGACCAATTCGATGAAGGTACGTCTCACAGTCAGCCTTTCCTTTCTGGTCAACAGGAAGGTCAAAATTCACCACAACAGTCACCTGTTCTACATCAATACCTGTAATAGCAGTGTAATAAAAAGAGAGTCAATTACAACAGAAGACAGATACTTCTGAAACATACCCAAGAGTAGTTCAAATCAAGTTTACTCTTGGAGAATAATGTATATATAAAAAGTAATAATTATTATAAATAAACAAATAATTTGCTCTAGGACTTTCTCTGCAATGGTTATCAAATGTTGTGGAGTCAAACAGCAAGAAATGTTAAGTATTCTTTAGAACAGAATACATAAAGAAAAACCTATTTGGTAAAGACTAGCTTTTAGTAACCTAGTGGTAGCATGCAAGTATTATCTAAAGTTTAATGAAATGACATAACTATGAAGAAAATGCTCAGTGGTGTTATAAAAGGTTAACCTGAAACTGCTATAGATATTTAGAAGGATAACCTAATACAGCTATAAAATATTTAAAACTGTGGGTGTATTCAATAAGCAAATCAATGCATTCCAATCATTAGAATTTTTTTTTACTGTGCATTCGTTTAGTTATATCACTGTATGAAATTAGTTATTCCTGGGATAATTTTTTTAGTTCTGCTTTGATCAGAAGTTATTGATATCCATGATACATCTTGATTGTTTTTCTTTACATATTCCATACATTTTAGCCAACAGAAATACTTATAGTCCTACGGCTAGAGCTCAAGATGGTATACTAAGAAAAAATAAACTAATTTCTTTAATGCTGTTATTCTCCTGACAAAAACATTCTAATGTTACTGTAATCTACACCTGTAATAAATACTTTTTTTGCATTAAATGCATAAATTGTTTGTTTCTTTACTTTCAAATTCACCGATTTGTTTTTCAACTTTGAAAAACAATTACTTATTTGCTAGATTGGTAATTAGTACTTACAATCTTAGCGTGCACCTTTAATTTCAAGACGATTTCTATTGTGAAGATTTTTATTGCAGCACTTGATTTATTCTAAGCACATCAATCATTTCAAAGCTGAGAAAATGTGTAAAGTACAAATAATAAAATAGGTTATTTGGGTTTATATGGGAAGCCTTTTAGAGCCCATGTTTTACTTGCCTGTAAAGTCACTGAGAATCAAATGAAAATGAACTGGATAAAAAAATAAGAGCTTAGGAATTGGAGGGGGGGGCAGTAAGTTATATCTAATGCAATTAAGACAACTTATTCCTGTACTGTCATGTAAAATTACTCAGATCAACATGTGTAATACACATCTTTCATGTCACCGAGTAAATACTTGTACCATATTGAAACAATAACGATCAAAAGTGAAATACCCAACTAATTAACTTATTTGCTAAAGAAATATTTCAGTAAGCTAAAATCCTACAATTGATATTTGTTGTCCTGCTATCAGTGTAATGATAATGAATAAATGAAACAACATACAAGTTTTCATACTTAATATTAACTAATAAACCAAAAACACTAGAATTGAGAATATAAAAAAAAACCTCATAGCCAATTTTAACCGAGTACCTTAGTAATGTTTCAATTAAAAACAAATTTGACTAATGCAAACTGAAATACCAATACAATTAAAAGTTTTACTTATTTCTTTCTTATTCCATTTCCTCGAAGTATGTTAACAGGATATTGTAAATTTACAGTCTGACTTTGAAATACTTCTAAAAGATTATTTGATAAACCCAGATCAACTTCAGCAGAAAAATTCTTTGTCAAACAAAGACTAAGATATAATCTCTTTGGAAAAAGTATGCTGAAGTTTTCCAATGTATAGTTCAACAAGTATGAAATGACCATTAGCAACAGTTTAACTACTCAGTTTTCAGTAACATCCAATATTAAAGGTTATTTCATACAATAACTATAAAAGATAGACAGCTATTTTTGTTATTGACATTATTCTGAATGCAACCCACCTCTGGCACAAACATTAGTGGTAATGAGGACTTTTTCTTTGCCATCTCTGAACCTGTTCAAAACCGCTATCCTCTGAGAAACCGACATGTTGCCAGAGAGTAGAGCTACCGCATGTCCTTCTTTAGTAAGTTTCTCTGATAACCAAGATGCTGTTTTTTTCGTCTATAAACAAACATTAAAACCAGACTAAAATAGGAAACAAAGGATAAATTTTGTTGTGCTACAGAACATAAATGATTCTGTTGAAATCAAGTTTCTTTTCTCAAACTATCAACATTTCACACTTTTTTTCTTTTAAGGGACGTTATTGTAGAATGTTTTACTAAAAAGATTACATCTTTACTGCTGCACTTCAACATCGGCAATAACACTAGTTATCTTATGTTTTTTCTTCTTCCAAGTGCTACTTTTTAATCTCAGAATTTTAGAACGATTTCTTATATTGATATATGAATTGTAACTAATACCTGACCAGTGATTGGTACAAAGGTAATTATACTTAGTTATATAATATGAATGAACTAATGACGATTACCGTTACTTTTTCATAAAGCACGAATGAACTAGTGCAACATTACTTTTTAGTATAATGGTAAGGATTTTTTAGAAGTTTTGATAAAGTTGTGGTTTTCGACCATGTTAGTAACAATATAATGTGCGTCTTAAGAAGAAATGGAATTTTAAAATAAAAGGAAATAATACTCCAATAATGACAAATAATCTAAGTTAGCTGTTTGTTACTACATTTTCTCTCATTTACTAGTATTTAATGTCAATACCAATAAATTCAAGAAAGCAAAATAAATTATTATAAATGGGGGTAAATACAATTTTTAAAACAAGAAAAGAAACTAATGGAAGAAGCACTTGAAACCTGTAATAACTAATTAGCACAAGAAAATTTAGTCCATTGTTAATGTGATCCAGTGTATGCCTTGAATCTATATAAACACAATTAATTTAATGGTAAATACACTCTGGTAGTTTTTCCACTAATTGTAGCGCCACCAGGTGGTAATACAAATCAGACACATTAGGAACACATGGAAATGAAATTTAATGGTAAATACACTCTGGTAGTTTTTCCACTAATTGTAGCGCCACCAGGTGGTAAATACAAATCAGACACATTAGGAACACATGGAAATGAAATTTAATGGTAAATACACACTGGTAGTTTTTCCACTAATTGTAGCACCACCAGGTGGTAAATACAAATCAGACACATTAGGAATGCATGGAAATGAAATTGCATATTTTCTTTGTTAATGAAAAATTTAAATCTAACCTTTTACCAGAAACAATATACTTGACATACACCAAACAATATCTGTTAAATAATATTCTAGGGGTTTCTTGAGGTATTACGTGTAAATTTGGCAATTCTAAGTTCTAGACTTTTTATTTATGTTTGTTTCACTAAAAGACAACAATAATAATAATAATACCACATCAGTAGATTGTGCATAATGTCAAGAACAAAACTGTGGACTTACAGAACTGATATACACACAAGGTTAACATTAAAGCAAAAAACTAACTTCAGCTAGTATTGGTTGTTAAGAAAACCACTTTGAGCTATCTTACTGTATAGTAAGTGCTATTAATGCTTCAAAAGAAAAAAAAAGTACATGAATGTAACCACAGCAATATATTTTAATTTATACGAAAGAAAAACAAAGTTAAAAACATTAAAGTAGGAATCCTTTGGTTAAAATAAATAAAATGTTCACACATTATTCAGGTATTAGTCTAATGGTAATCTTAATACAAAAGAAACGTTTTTCTGTTTAACTAATTTCCGATGTTTGTTTATAATTATGAAATACTCAGTACCTATTTCTTGACAGAAATGTTGAAATTTATACTATCCAAGCTAACTAACAATTTGATATAAAACTGCAGAGCTAGTGCAAAACAGAAATTACTTCATTTAACTCGATCATTAACAATCAAAATGATTTTAAGAAACAAATCTTTCATCAATAGCTCTTGGATTTTATTTATTATTCCTTAACTAATATTTTCAGAATCTTGTTGTTGTATCAATATTTCCAATACTGGTTTATTAAAAGCAACGTTTTACCGAGATATGATGGTCTACTCTATATATCAAATGTGGGCTTATAATATCTAGTATAACATGTTAGTTACAAAAATTAATATGAAAAACTAAAGAATCTATTAACAACATGGACTGTATCTTGGGGCCTCTTTAAGTGATTACAGAAATCTTTTGTCCATGAAATTGTGCTCATGATGTGAAGGATACATTTTACGGCTTTTATAAGTAAACAAAACGGTTGCTACTTATAATGCTTACGTGACAAAAGACAATGGCTTGTCCAATAGATATCACTCCATAAATGTTGGAAAGAGCAGAAAACTTCTCATCCATGCTTTTACAAACAACATAAAATTGTTTGATGTTCTCTAGGCTCTCCTCTTCCTTTCTTAGTCTGATGACGACAGGATTGGGAACAATTATCTCAGCAAAATCCATAACTTCTTGGTCGTATGTAGCCGAGAACAGCATCACCTGACACTCTTTGGAAAGTTTTCTGTAATACAAAAAATATAATTAATATAATATCCAATTTAAACCCCACAACTTTGAAATGGTAAATGTTCAAGATTTTTATGTCATCTAAAATGCAACTTTTACTGTAAGCTACCTATGTTAAAACAAAATTTAAATAAACTACAACGATGTTTTCACATTATCAAATTATAATTTTTTTCAAACAATTTACAAACATGATGAGAGCATTCCATCATTGAACTTTCATAAATACAACTAAAAAATAAACAACTAAATTCACATAAATAGGTCTCAGAGTCTCAGCCACAAATACGAACAAGTTTATTTCACTATCAGTACAATTATTATATTGCCACAGAACATCAGTACCAAATTATTTTCCACACTGGGCCACAACAGATGATGGCCATAAAGCCAAGAGCTGGGCCTCAAATACATCATTCCCCATAACCAGTTATGCTTACTTTTGCAATTTCTGATCATCGTGATAACCACGAATCAGGCTTTCAAAGGCTTGATTTGGCCCACGAGTTGCCTATTGGGGACTGCTGTCATAAAGCATAATGCAGGTTTTTCATTGCACATGAGCTCGTACTAAACTGAAGTAAAAAGCATAACTTAATTTTAGTATTTGATTAGATAATGATAACGTGAGCTAAAATTTTTATGCAACAAAATTCTGGCAGGTGCATGTTACTGTTATTTTGTCCGACAACCATCTTACTTCTAAATATATATGTCAAAAGCTTCAAAAGGGTTGGTTACTTATATAAAATATCAATCTGTTACAAAGTTCATCCAAGTACTAGAAATTAATATTCCATACAACCAAAAAATAGGCCTATTAAATATCCCAGAAGATGAAAGGCTTAGTTAATTATGTGGTATTCTCAGGAGAAACTGATTTCTGCAGGAGTATTGGATTAGTCCACTTTATAATGGAAGGACCAATCAGGAAAACTGTGTAGTAAATCTCACTTTAGCTAAATGACTGAGTTTTCAGCTATGCAATAAACAGACTGGACAAGTGATGTAAAGCGAAACAGTGTTTATTCATATTGCAAAGCAAAAAAGCTTGCTTGTAATTGCATGGATACTAAACAAACAGTCACCTTTCTATGAGATTAATGAATCAATGAATAATTATCGAAAAGACATTCCATTAATTGACTCACATCTACAATGAAGTAGATTCATTAGGACTAAAACCAGCTGCATGCCCAACAGGAAACCTCAGTTTTATCCATTAGTGACTGGTCATTCTCTTACAATATACAAAGATTGTAACCTCTAAATATTATCTATTTGACTAGTAAAGGATAATGATGTTGATAGCCTATCTTAAACAGTGTGCAATGTTGCAACAATATAACCATGGGCAAAGCAGATGCTACCTTCAAGAGAACAACAAAGAAACAAATGTAACTAGAACAAAAACAGCTCAATGGTTTTTATGGACATGCCAAAATTGCATAAAATCAGGCTAATAAAAAAAATACTAAAAGTAGGTTAGAAAACAATAATATGCCATATATCTCAGTTACAAGTAGGAGGCCAACCTCAATGGAAAACAAAGATACAAATAAATACGATGCTTGTACAATTTAATTAAAAACCATAGTGAAAAGTAAGCTAAGAAAAAGCCTACAAAATTAACAGAAGCCATAAATTTATTAGGACATCGTACTATAGATATCCTATAAAAATAAGCAAATAGGAGTCATGAGGTTATAAAAGGAGAGTCCACTATCTTTCTATGGATATCCTGTGATTGAACAACCTGCAGAATGAACCAACAGGAGTCTTAAGATAAGTAGAGCCTACTCAACATCTGTGGATAAAAAACAACTCATGCTACATACTGTGACAGTGTTTACCACCTCCCCCTTTGGTTAGTTAATCATCCAATATACAGTAAACCCGTTACTGCCTTGAATACTTTCAATAACACTAATAATCACTGGAGTAATAAAGCATTTAGTTACGCATTGCAACAATAATGTGATGTTCACGTTTTCCATAAACATTTGAAAATAACATCGGCTGTCAACTACCTTCATTTATTGGCTTATACGGGGGCTTAGGATGACTATTAAACTGGTTGTGTACCAGATAATTAGCTGCACTCATGATGGAGAAAAAATAAGTGGGGTCTAGTAAGCTAAGCAGCCCTAGGAAGTTAGTGTGTTTTAAGGTGTTCTAGAACACAAAATGAAGTTATCCTCAACTTAAAACACATTCAAACTATTATTTTACCTCTAAATTTTTCAAAGAAATAATAAAGGCAAAAATAAGACAAAATATTTTAAATCAAAGAACAAATCCCCTCTAATTCTAGAAAGATGAAAAAAAACTATCATTTTACTCTTCCTTAAATCTGTCAAAAACAAATTCACACTCAGTTCAGCTCCATATTTCATAAATACAAATTCCTGATCAATGCTAGGAAATTACCTGTAAGTATCATAAAATCCAAATGTATTGCTATAAAGTAGAATTTTGGAGTCATACGTGATAAAACTTCACTTTTTGACAACAGATCAAATGAATTATGAAAACTAAACTCTCCTTCCCTTGCAACTTGCACCAGCTGTTGAAACAGGTCAATTGGTTACATTTGGAAGTGGTAAGGAGCTTCCCATTGGCCAAAATTGTATACAGACTACTACCTCGGCCAATGACCATTATGATAAACACACACTTGACTAACAGTAACATACAGAAAACTATATACTTTCTTATATACCATTCAAGAAATGGAACAGTTTTGTGAACAAACATGAAAGTATTGGAACATAGTTCTCTAAAGTTGGTGATACCGATGCTATATCTCAGTGCTGATACATGCTACTCTTGCTCTAGAAATACCTACAGTTGGCACTAATTCTACTGAAGAAATGTCATACTAAAGAGATGGCACTACTTACATTAAAGGTATGTCATACCAACATAGGAATGAGACCTAGTTTTTCAGAAATACCTACTTGTGAACCCTTATACACTGATCATGGTGACCCTGGATAGCAATCATCACATTGGCCTCATCTAACACATAAACGTTGATCTTCTGAATGTCAAACAGTTTGTATCTTAATGACCAGTCCATCACTTTACCCGGTGTTCCTATTATCACTTGTTCTTTAATCTTCCTTCCTCTATGGGCTGCATGTAGATGGTAAATTTACTTCAAAATCTCACTGTCTCTACACATGCTGATAACTTTTTGTGATATTTTTAAATATAATGTTTAGTTTATTGGCACCCAATGAAACTTATCAGCTATTCTACATTTTCTGCAATATGATTTATTAACAAAACTACTCAAGCTATTTTATATATATATATATATATGTATCTATAATGAAAACTAAATATATCACACAATAACCAGTTCACTTCTCTTTCAAATAAGATACATGATTATTTAAACTAATGTAAAAAAAAGTTGTATATGAACTTTTTTATTTAAATCTAGAAAATACTTAAGTATATATATATATATATATATATATATATATAACACACACACAATTTTTTTAACTGCGAGTAAAACAACTTATTTAAAAACTAGTTAAAAACAATGACTCATCAACTACTGAAAATATTGACAAGTCGTCAGAAATGCAATTTTTTCGAAGATCAAATGAAAATATTACCAACACTAAAATAAAACCAAAATTTTAAAAGCTCACTCTTGTATAATAATATTTTTTGTTTAGTTATCAACTATATGACACAAGAAAACTCAACACAACTACAAAACTGCTTCTCCATGTCCCAGTATTTCGCTCAAATATGTTGACGATACCTTTGTAATATGGACATTCACACTACAGACAAAATTCAAGAATTCACGAACCATTTGAACAGATAACAAAACACAATGAAAAAAGAAAAATATTACAACTGCACATTTGTTGATGTGATGGTTACCAATACACATAACCCAGATATCTTGGGAGTTTGCAAGAAACCACAAATAAGGGTAAATGCCTTGACTGTAAATCAAACCACTCGTACACATAACCCAGATATCTTGGGAGTTTAGAAGAAACCACAAATAAGGGTAAATGCCTTGACTGTAAATCAAACCACTCGTACATATAACCCAGATATCTCAGAAGTTTAGAAGAAACCACAAATAAGTGTACATGCCTTGACTGTAAATCCAACCACTCGTACATATAACCCAGATATCTCAGGAGTTTAGAAGAAACCACAAATAAAGGTAAATGCCTCGACTGTAAATCAAACCCCTCATACACATAACCCAGATATCTCAGAAGTTTACAAGAAACCACAAATAAGGGTAAATGCCTCGACTGTAAATCAAACTACCCCCAACAAGTGTAAAGAGGGGTTTCATAAACTGACTAGTTTCAAGAATGAACAAAGAAATTAAGAAGATGGAAGAAAAATACAATCACTAAAACACTCCTTAACCTAAAACAATTTATAAAGAAGATAAACAGAAAGAAATTATAAACACACACATAGCCATATTCCCTTTTCAACAGGTCTCTCTGAAAACATGCAGAAGATATGTAAAAAAAAGTCAGAACAGTAGTCAGAAGCCACAACATATTCACAATTAGAAAGAAAAAACCCATCTAAAGACCAATGTAGAGGAAAAACACAACTAACACTGTCCCTTGTGAATATGAATTCCAATAAGTTGGAAAAATAAAAAGATCAACAAAAGTTATAATTTAGGAGCATAACAAACATACAAGACTTGGTAATGTTGACCTGTCTGAAAAACTCATCATGTCAGAGAAGGAAACCATACAATAAACTTATATAATAATAAAATGATAGGATATGAACCAGAAAAACAAAGATGAAAGAAGCCTTCTGCATTCACTTAACTACTAACACAATCAGTCAACCTAAAAACATGCTCACCAAAACCTGGATACCACTCCTGCAAACAGTTGATTCAAGTTCTAATTGGGGAGGTGAGGGGGGAGGATCTCAGTAGAGTGGATAATGCACCATACATCCATCAAGAAGACACAGATCCAAATTTCAACCACTATCAACACAGAAATATTTATTCTCAGAACATGTCTGATTATAACAGCAGATTAGCAGACAAAACTAGATACTAACAAGAGCAATCAGAGATTATACACCCTCACCCTGCCACTCCTTTTCGAGATTTCCTGCATTTAGATTGGATAACGACAAATTTCACCTTCAAAAACTAAGAAAATCCTTCTCAGATCCAGAATGATCAATGATCCAGATAATTTTTTTTTAATAGTGTGCTGAGAAGTCTCAACCTTTATGTGACCATGAAATTTGGTACAAATCTAATCACACTTTATAGTTATTAACCCAAAACCACAAAAATGCTCTATGTCTCCATTACAAAAAAAAATGCTTCAAAGTGATCCAGAACTGGATCCAGATCAAATTTAGGGGGG